TAACACAACATAAGGTGGTCAGAACCGAATTTCAACCCCTTTGTGTCACTTTTGTGTGTGTGCGTGGGGGGATCTTAAGGATACATGGCAGGTTTAGTTTGGACAATTGATCCATCCGTTTGCTCTGATATATATATAATTATTCACACACGTATCTGAGACTGCTAGTGAAATGTTTTATACATTTGTTATATTTTGCATTATTTCCAGCCATGTAAACAGCACTATTTTCAACCAAGCATATTGTAAATAGTACTGTTTTTGTTAGGTGTTTTATGATCTGTAACCACCAACTTACTAACTGTTTGCAAGTGATGCCGCAGAAGAGCGGGACACTAACGAGTTCTTGATGGAAGCAGGGACACTTCCGGTTCTCCTTTGTCTGTCTGGAAGGAAACTTTTAGACGACTCCATCTAATTGCCTAGTGCACTATATGAATGAATAGTGAAGAACCCGGCTTAACAACTGTATCAATTTACTTCTACAAGTCTTGGAGCACGTGCCGAAAGATCACTAAAATCGTAGAGTCCCAGATGTTGTCAAGAGCCTCCTTCTCCTTCCTCCCTTCTCTTTCAGCAATAAAGAGAGCTATTTCTTTTCTTAGAAACTAACTGCCAAGTTGTTTGAGTGAACATTGATTCTGGAACTCCTGCCTTGTCATATCACTTCTTAAGAGAGCTATACAGTAGCTTGACTGTACTTCATTACACGGAACTCTGTAGCGCATTGTTCGTTCTTTTAGTTCATACATAACAAGTGAATAATACAAAAATCAAAGCGGGCATTGTTCATTCATACTCATTTGTTTAGCATGCCCTAAATAAGCACAGAGATTGTTATTTAAAGAATAGCGACATGTTTATACAAAGAATAAGTCTCAGTTTGATATCCGATTTCAAGGTGAACGTTTGTATTATGATGATTGGCATGACACTTGGTGGCCAAACATATTTATATTACTTGAGGTGGGTCACAGTTCTGTATATATATAAGACTTAATGAAAAAGAATATAATTCTCAGTAAAATTATATCCTGAAGAGTGAACTCAGAAGTCACGAAACTGGTTGAAGAAATTAATAAAGAAGACAAAAAAAAAATAGAATAGTCTAATACTTCCAGTGTTTTGTTATAGTGTGTGTGTGTCTTATACACACACTTTATTTTGGTTATCATAAAAGAATAAACGTACATTTTGTTCATATTAATATAGATGATCTCCGCCTCTTCTTGACTTCAAAACGAAGTCGGATTAATCACATCGAGAGGTCGTAGAAACTATCTTCACACCCAGTGTAAAGTACTGTTTGAAGTTTATAATCACGGATAAACTGTATTTTCTGTATAAACACTTCTAGACTTTTGTTGCGTTAGTTCACCAATACCTATTAGATTGTAACAGCGAATCAACTTTTAAATAATTCCTCTTCATTTGTTGCTGTTGTTTTCGTAATCTTCTCCAAGATGGCTAGCAAAATAAAGCTTGAAGATTAAGAGTAGTAAAGTATAACTAGGCGGAATTCAGTCAACAGTTAGCTTACCATGTTTTAAACTGGATATAATGGCAACCTGGTTGCATATTTCCAAGAGTAAGCTAGTATTCTCAGCTGTAAGAAGTTTCTCCATTATTAGCTTGAGACCCTGGTTTTTACTTGTGTTCAAGCTCTGCCATAGTCAACTCCATATGCTCGACGCTAGTAGAAACCATGGACCAACTTGTTCGTACTCGGTTATTTATTTTAATACAGGTAATAGTGATTTATTCGGCAAATGTATAGGTATTATGTGTAGGAGGATGTATGATGATAATGGCACCAGTAATAGTGGAAAGTTAAAATAAATGACTCTGGTAATAATGGCATCAGTAATAGCGGAAAGTGAAAATAGCTGACACTGCCCCCCACCCCCCCAGTGGCACAGCGGTATGTCTGCGGACATACTACGCTAGAATCCGGGTTTCGATACTTGTGATGGGCAGAGCACAGATAGCCCATTGTGTAACTTTGTTTTTAATTTTTTTTAAATAAATAAATGACTGGTAATAATAGCATCAGTAATAGTGGAAAATGAAAATAAATGACATTGGTAATAATGGCATCGGTATTAGTGGAAAATGAAAATAAATGACATTGGTAATAATTGCACCAATGATAATGTAAAGCAAGCAAAAATGTATTACATAAAACTCGCAAATATACAATTTTGCTTATTTCGGGGGGAAGGGAGGCGAGTAAAAAAAATGTCATTATTTTTAGTTTGTCAGTTTTTTTTTATTTTGTAACATTACTGGTGTCATTTTGTTCCTAGAAGTAAGCATGTCAGGCTGTAATTACTTTTAGTATGTACTATTAAAAAGTGTTTTATTGTATTTTCAAACTTTAATTTTTCATATAGAAATTAGAATTATGAGACTTTTTGACCCCTAACGACATTCCCCAGGATTAAGAAGTACAATTTTAAATGTTATACTTTAACGGAGATAAAAAAAAAAACAACAACAAAAAAAGTAGTTTAGATTTTTTTATTTTTTGCAGTAGGCATGTTATTAAATTTTCAATGCTAGGCGATTTAAAATGTTTGATTAAAAACGAGCGTTATAGCGTGGTTAACTCTTGACTAATAAATTTTTTATATAATTCTGTAATACTTTTCTATCTGCATTTTATGAACCTTAAAGTGAATAGTGCATTACAATTGTGGGCTATTTTTATGGTTAGCCTTTAGTTTTAACTAACAAATGTTTTGCGGTTGAATAACGTCTGAACGAAAGACTTAAGCCTAATCTCACGTTACACAGGCCGCATTTGATATAAATGTGTTCTTCGCTAGAACTTGGACATGGTCTAAGAGAACCATGAACAATGGAACTGCCTCTCTTAGGAGGGGAGGGGGAGAGACAATTTTAAATTAGGTAGATAATAAAAGCTCTTATTTATTTATTTATTTATTTTTTACTGCGTATCTGCTTTATTCTTTGTAATTAAGGCAGTAAACTTGTTTTAAGTTTGAGATGGTTTTGTTTTTATTACCTTATTTGTTATCAGTGAGAACATTGGTGTGACATTTGTTTATAGACATATCTTGGAGGGTGTGCTGGAATACAACCGTAGACTTTCTTGTTGTCCATTGCCAAAGATTTTTTTTTCTAAGATTGTACCATTTCACATTATTGGTTTCAGACGTCTGATTCCAGATGTCCCCACGCGTAACCATCGACTTGAATACAGCTTTTACAGGAAGTCGTAAATCTTCTAATAGTTCGTTCTGGAGCAAGAAAGGTGTCGAAGAGCTTGTTCCGGAGAGAGGGGGGGGGAAGGGGGGGTCCTGATTTTGAATCACGATGCTTTGTAAATGTGGATGACATGTTGTTTCCAACAGATGAGGAATACGTGACGAACTTATCTTTTCAGCTACATTGTGTTTTTACTGCGAAGAGTTATTTTGCATTTTTAGCCTTGTACACGGATTTAGGACTAACCCAAATCTCCTAAGATTGCCGACATTCATGAGATTTTAATTGGTTAATTGATTTAAATGGTCGAAAATACGCTAACCAGAAGGACACTTGACTGGTGAATCGGTGCATTCTAATGATTTGGGTCTATGACATTGCATACTTCTGGCTAGACTGGTATATTCAATTAGCTATATTAATTAGTGGGTTGCTGTTTATTTCTGATCAGTGTAGGTAGCTTTCTTTGATCAAACTTATCGATAATTAACAATGTTAAGGAACGGGGGGGGGCTAACATGAGTTAGAACGAAGTGGCATACAATACAAAAAAGAAATGACTGCATGAAGTTGTTGTTTGCAAAGGGGGCAAATTTTTGTTTGTTAGGAATACTATAAGTAAATAAGACCTTTGTATTATATTAATACTGTCCTGTAAGCACTGCCTTTGCATGGGCCACGACAGGATAACCTAATTAAACAAATATTATTTTAGCAATGTAAACAATATATTTTTCCTAGGGGTTTTTTCAGTATAATGGTGGCTGTGAAGCGTTTGCCTTTTATATAAGTATATATTAAACCAGAAACATTCCATATACATAAAAAAAAACAATCGTTTCGTAAAACGTTTAAAAGGTTAACTACATAATGACGCAGTGTAGGAAAACAAAAAGTCAAACATGTCATATTTATTCCTAGCTTTGTACGTTTTGAGCACCCATTTCCTGGTTCCTCCAAGCTGTTATCACATAACATATATATTTTAACATGGAGCCTTAATTGTGTTCGGTTTACTTAATCAATTTTATCAGTCTAATCATATGTTGTTATTGTTGTTTTCTCCCTTCCTCACGTTACAATACGAATGATATTTTCTTTTTTTTCGTTAATTTATAATTCAGTTAACTAACTGTTTTGGAACGAAAATCAACTGATAAATCCTTAACTTTGATATCTTGCTGCCTTATATTGCATAAAACTATTTCAAAACCAGTTTGACGTATTTCTTTAGATCTAAATTTTAAATCTAAAGTGAACGTTCTTGCATATTAAAAGTATGTACCAATTTCTGTGTGTCTTGAAACGTAATTTCATTAAAGAATTTGGTATATGTTTTGGTTAATTTTTCACTAATAATAAAAAATTAAAAAAAAACTGCGCCAAAATAATTTCTCAACGTAACGTAACCCTGTTGAGGTGTTTTTTTTACCCCTTTTTGTATTTACAAGTAGGTTTTCAATTTATTGTGAAGTCTTAGTGAAGCTTTCCTTTTGTGTTGCACTTTACATCTGTCCATTTTTATTGCTAAAATGGTGAAAAATGTAGGGCGTCTGCTTTTTTTTTTATCTCTGTTCAACGAAATAGTTTTAACCAAACGTATATTCATGATTCATTGCATTGAAATTTCTAGGATTAGACGACAGCATGCCACCATTTCCATGTTTTCGTTTAAGTATGGCCTTTTAATAGCCATTTCTTGTTACTTACTTTACTGAAAACATAGATTGAATAGCTCTATTGATTATTTTAATTTCCTGTATTTTTAGAACCTCATATTGGTCGCAAAATGATGAAAGATGTTGACAGCAACGCCCCCTGCTGTCCATCCTGTCATATACCTTTTGATAAAGGAAAGAGGCGACGGTTAATTGACAGCTGCGGCCATGAGCGGTGTTTCACGTGCGTCGCCAATACGGAAGGTTGTAACCTTTGTGTAATGGACGGTAAGTGACCATTTTTGTCATCAAATTGCCTAACCATTGCTAACCCTAATAAACCAATACACGACATATTCTGTGTTGCCAGAGCTATCAATGATAATTAAACAGAGCAAGCATTAACCTATTTACTTCGTTTTTTATTGATGTTACGTAGCTTTCTTAATTTTTTATATAACATCAAAGATATCACAATAAGGTGAATGTTAATTGATAAAAGAATTAGTGTTTGAATTATTATTTTAAATTGTACAACGGATCAAAACTCATCAGCCTTCAAGTTTTATTTATTATTGTATACCCGAACTTTTTGAATGTCGTATGGATTGTAATTCTCGCAAACTAACCTCTATAATTCTCTCCAAAATTACTTCCTAAAGTTTTAAATTATTTTTAATGGGTTATTGTTTGCGTTTATAATAACCCGGATTGTTCCTATACAAATATGAAACCTCTGTGAAAAGTATAACCTGATATTGTGACTTAGGAAATTCAATCAAGGCACCTAAGCATAGGTGTGCCCCTCCCCCCAATCTCTTACGTACCTTATTATCACGTGTAATAGCATAATTTTAGTTTTCCATCACGTAATGCGAAAAAGATTATTACCTTTATTTGATAATTATAAGTCTGTTCCGCATCATTCGCTCAGCAGAACTGTACTTTCAGTTGGTTCAACCAGCCCTTTTCCCCTTTCGCCTGTGCGAACCTGTTGCTTGGCAACTGGGAACAAACCAATGAACACAAGTAACTGAATGTCTGTATCAAAGCGTAAGAAGTGGTTACTTGCAATGTTCCCTCTAATTTTATCAATCCACGTTTGGAATGATTTTTTTCATGTGCACCAGTATCAAGGCAATGTGCGCTACCAGCTTTTTTTTTCAATTGGGGGGGGGGGGGTATTTTTAGACAATAGACCGTTTACGATCATTAGGCCGCTTTGCAACAAGTTGGTTATTTGGGATTTAGGCCTATCGACTGCTATGGTCATTAAGGCCGTCAACGTGTTGAGACTCCTCACCATTACTGAGGATATGCGCGGCTGGAATAATATTGTGCGCGGCACTTGATTGTTTGTTGTGCTTATAGGGAAGACTGGTTACCAGACATAGTCTTCTATTGCAGCACATAATTCTGTGAGAAAAGATAAACCTGTAAGTTATGCTATTTTTTACGCATCCAGATAACCTGCGAATTAATTGTTTTGTTTTCAATATTGAGCCATGCCTGTGATGCAGTGTTCCGGTCTCTAAGCGATATGACCGGTTGCATTAAGGTAGAACTGCAGATATGATATTTCGACCATCAATGTGATAATCAAAGTTTCTTAAATATTGGCATAAAATAATAAAAATTATTAAAAATCGTTGATTTGTTATTGTATAGGAATTTCCTTCAATATTGTATGACGAATATCTTTCAAAAATGTTTTTAGTGGCATACTACTCACGAACCATTAATCGTTAGAAGGCTTGTGTTATTTCACTTTGGTAGGAAGTAAAATTTGATATACTGAGAAAAATGAACATCGTAATCTCGGTAACCATTTGCGTACAGACGTCTTTGTGTATTCTCTGTAAAAGCAATGCCCTATTCCTCGTGCATCTTGTCAAACCAGTTAGAAACCTACAATGCTCTGAATCAACAACCTGGTAAAACAGGAGGAACATTGCCCCTGGAAGAGTTGGCAATACACGAGCTGCACGTGATATGGCATAACACAGTGAACGTCGTAAGCAACCTGTGGAACTACTGTATCTTTACCACGTGTGTTAAAGGCCTTGTTCCTTAGTGGTGATAGGACGAGAAAATCCACTTGTATGGCTGGACACTGATTTTGTCTTTCACAGAGTATAGTAAATATCTGTTGATAAAGTTCGGCTCTTTGAATTACAATGGTAGTTTCTAAAAACGATATTACTAAATTCTGTTGTGTTTAAACATGATAAAAATGTATAACATAACACTACGACAGTTGCAATACTTTTCATTGTTTAAACATGATAAAAATGTATAACATAACACTACGACCGTTGCAATACTTTTCATTGTTTAAACATGATTAAAATGTATAACATAACACTACGACAGTTGCAGTACTTTTCATTGTTTAGACATGATTAAAATGTATAACATAACACTACGACAGTTGCAATACTTCTCATTATTTAAACATGATAAAAATGTATAACATAACACTACGACAGTTGCAATACTTTTAATTGTTTAAACATGATTAAAATGTATAACATAACACTACGACAGTTGCAATACTTCTCGATATTTAAACATGATAAAAATGTATAACATAACACTACGACAGTTGCAATACTTCTCGATATTTAAACATGATAAAAATGTATAACATAACACTACGACAGTTGCAATACTTCTCATGAACTCTTCACTTATTAAAAGAATCATTAATGTATTATTGTAATGATAATATTTTCTTCAGAAGTTAAACTCCACGACTAGTATGTTCGAAGCATTGGGAATACCATTGGCCCCATTGTCACAAAGTAAAACATAATTACCCTTTACTCCAGTTTATGTATGCTTTATTTCTGTCCTCAGCTAACCCAATACCTGGCTGTCCACAGCGTGGAGACAGCCCAGCGTCAACTCGACCTCGACTGAAAACCAACGGTCATTTTACTACGTATATGCAGGCTCGGACAGATAGATTCCGAAACAGCCCTGAGAGACCCATCAGTAATTTTGAAAGTAAGTTTGAGGATTTTGCACAGTTTTTTTGTAAATTATGTTGCATATTCTAACAACATAGCATTTGATGTATACATTTGTGTACGTATATATATATATATATATGTGTGTGTGTGTGTGTGTGTGTGTGTGTGTGTGTGTGTGTGTGTGTG